GGATGACCCCTCTCCCCTCTCTCCGTCTCCTTCTCTCTCTCTCTCTCTCTCTCCCTCCCTCCCTTCCTCCCTCCCTGAGAAGAATCGAGCCCACAGGCTCACAGCGGGCCCAGCTCTCGGGCGGGCGAGGAGCTGAAGTGGCCCATCCGCCTTCTGTCAGGTATTCTCTGCACTGAACTGACTTCGGCGCTTCAGTGTAACAGCCTGAATAATTAAAACCAAAACTCCACACATGCACGTTTTCACACAGCGCCCATGAGGGGACCAGGCGGTGACCACAGTTAGTGGCGGTTTAGATGCAAATTGAAAAGGCTCATTCCCACTCGTACATGAATATAAGTACGTAACTAGCAGGTCACAAAGTGCTTTCCCGAAAAGGGCTCCTTCGTGTCCCGAAAGTATTTCCTTGTGCACCGCCCTCCGGGCTGCCGTGCCCGCCATCAGTTACTAAACGTTCCCTGAAGTCACCGCCCCGGCCTTTGCTGTTCTTTAACTGATGAAAAGAGAACACGCCCCCTGTCTGGTAAATGCTCATGGCTTCTCTCTTCAAAAATATCACTCCTTTCACATGAGAAATGTGATAACAGGGCTGCAGTCGGCTCATCCTCAGAGCGACTAAGGGGTGGGACCAGGGTGGCCTTCGAAGTTGGTCAGACCATCAGGTGGCGGTCTGCGGTCTGAGATCCCCCAAGCGCTGCACCTACACTGAGGCATCCATTCCCTTAGCTTCTCGGGGATCTGATGACGGTCGACACACTGGGCTCCCACCCTCATGCCGCCTGGCGCAAGGGAGGGTTATGCACAAACCTGTGCTGCCTCCACGGGCACTGGTGCCCTGCCTGCCTCCCGTCCATCGCACCCACGCTGGCTGCTCCCTCCTTCCGCTTCCTAACCACTCACCCGCCCAGGCTCCCTGCTTTCCACACGCGCCCGCCAGCTTCAGCTAAAGTCATCTCTCTCTCAGGACATGGGCAGCATTTTTCACTTTTAAATATATGTTTTTATTGATTTCAGAGAGGGAGGGAGAGGGAAAGAGAGAGAAACATTGACGATGAGAGAGAATCATCCATCGGCTGCCTCCTGCACACCCCCCACTGGGGATCGAGCCCACAACCTGGGCCTGTGCCCTTGACTGGAATTGAACCCTGACCTCCTGGTTCATCTGTCGATCATCAACCACTGAGCCACACCGGCTGGGCATATTTTTCACTTTTTATTCTGAAATACTATGCAGTATGTTTGGCTTTTTTCTTTCTAAGCTTTAAGTTCCTTGAGAACAAAATACAAAAATGAGGGTCTTTTTAATCCCTCAAAGTACCAAGCACAGTACTTTGCTGGGAACAGAGTCAATTGATATCTGCTAAATCAATAGGGTAGCCCCAAAATAATGAATGTACTTTAATATGACTTAGATTCACTAACATCAGGCAGGGGCAGGAGTGAGAAATGTGATCGCTGTTCTGTCCTTACAGAACCTCATGTTTACTCCGACTTTCACATAAATGCTACGTGATCAAAAGGAAGCGTTTAGGGAACAGCTCCTGTTGGCTGTTAGAGTCCGTGTAACTCAGTATGTAGAAAATCGATCCTGCAAGCTTCAAACCCGGGCACAGACTGTTCCAGAAGCACCTGTGTCCGTCCACTGCTGAGGCTTTTCTAAATGAACCTCTTTATCCCAGAGCTGAGGCGTCTGGTGCCACTTCCTGCGTTTATAACCGGGTCTGCGTCTCTTTCAGAAAGCGGACGACAGAGAGAAGCGGCAGGAAGCCCACCGGTTTCACTTCGACGCCATGTGACCTGCCCGGCGCTCGCTGGATTCACGGAAACGCCGGGTTTGGCTGAGACAGGAAAGGGGGGTGAACGTTATTTATAAGTGACGCGTCCTTTGTGATCTGGGGAGCGCCTCGGTCATGGCCGGAGGCGCCGGGAGCTCTGGCAGCGGGTGGGTCTGGGGTTGTACCGAGCAGTCTATTCCTTCCTGGGCGGTGCATGCGCTGTGTCCGTGTTTATAATCGTCATAGAATGATGGTGACGGGAAAGCCTGTAAATAAACTATTTAAATGAGCAGGGGTTTATGTTCCGCTTGACTTGGTCTCGCTTCTCACCCCAACGATACACTGGTGAGCGTCTCTGAGGTGAAGTTACCCACCTGCCCCCCGTCTGGCAGGTCGGGGCCTCACTGATGGCAAACAGCACGGGGGCTGGGAATCCGGCTCTGGAATCCGCTGGGACAGGCTGCCTTAGCCCCGGTCCCAGCCTCGCAGGCGGTGGGAACGTGGCCGATGCCTAGCCCCGGAGCCGTCTCCTTGGTCATCAGTGGGGCGGGCGCTGGTGGGACAGGGCATCTGCCAGGAGCTCAGCGCCCAGCACAGCGTGAGCGGTCAGGGTCATTGCTACGTTGGGTACTTTCCTTAGACGTCCACACTGACATCAAAATGCACAGACTCCCAGAATCTTATTTCCGGCATCAGGAATCACATGCGGAAAAGCTAACTCCTCAGTGGCTGCTATCCTTACAGAGGGTGTGTGCGCTCATATTAATACAGATATGGCGGTGCCCTCCACCAACGGACGGCCCTGAAACTTCACCCCTCCCCTCACAGAGCGTGGATTTCCGGGCGGAGCCGCTGCGGGCGCACCCGGAGGCCACGGCCACAGTCGAGTTTCCTTCTCTAGCGCTTGCGGGAGCCGAGGCTCACCTCCCAACACCACGTCTGTGCGAACTTCCGTGGGCTCCACCTCGCCGGAGTTCCCACAGGCTCAGATCCGAGCTGGGGAGCTCACGGAGCAGCCCCCACAGTTGTCTTTGGTGAAATGGACATTCGGCGGCTCTAAAACGAAAGTCCCCTGAGAACAGTCACTTTTGCCCTCATGGTGTTTTCTTCCCTGCGGGTCCCCGAGAACGTGTCTGCGCGGCTCTGTGTCTAAGCATGTTAGCGTGTCTTCCTAATAAACGTTCCGGCCTGAGTCCTCGCCAGGCATGTCCATGAGTCTAAGCCAGGGGTGGGCAAACTTTTTGACTCGAGGGCCACAATGGGTTCTTAAACTGGACCGGAGGGCCGGAACAAAAGCATGGATGGAGTGTTTGTGTGAACTAATATAAATTCAAAGTAAACATCATTACATAAAAGGGTACGGTCTTTTTTTTTTTTTTAGTTTTATTCATTTCAAACGGGCCGAATCCGGCCCGCGGGCTGTAGTTTGCCCACGGCTGGTCTAAGCGATGATCCTGGAGCAGGAAGCGGCTGGGCCGTTAGCCATTCGTGGACCCGCCCTGTTGTCCCCATCTACCCCTCAAAAACCGTGATGCTTTTTCAAAAGCGGGATTCCCAAAACGGTTCTCCCTCCTGGGCCTCGGGCGGAAAGCTCATAGCTTCTACACACACTGCCCTCCCCTTCCCCTCTCGCCAAGGAAAGGCGGGACCCGTTACTGGAGAGAGACCAAGGCAGGCACCCTCGCCGCATGGAGCACCCGCACACCTGGGAAGAGCACCCCACAGGCAGGTTCTCACCGGCACAGAGCACAGGAGCGGGCTGCACGGGTAGCCGCCTCCCAGGGAAGCCCGGAGCAGCGTGTTGCGAGATACAGGAAACGCAGGACCACTCGAGTCCATCATGAACCTCCGGTTCACACGGGCCCAGTGGATTCTGACAGTCACTGCAAGAGAACGAGTTTCAGTCCATGTATTAAAAAATAATTTTCCTTCTGTCCTTCAGAAGACCTCCAAGAAGGAGCAAAGCCAGTAAATGGTAACCCTTACAAATAGCTAGAGCGACTCAAAAAAGCAGCTGAAACTGGCCTTGTGTCCAACAGCCAGTGCCTTCTCACTGGAGGCCTCAAATGAGCCAACAGTGAGTTTCAAGATCGGATGAGCTCCCCTGTCTCCTAACCGGTCCCAGGCTAGGTTAGAGGGCTGAGCCTTGCCCGGCCGGTGTGGTTCAGTGGGTGAGCATCAATCTATGGACCCGGAGGTCACGGTTCAATTCCCAGTCAGGGCACATGCCTGGGTTGCGAGCTCCATCCCCAGGGGGGGCGCGTACAGAAGGCAGCCGATCCACGATTCGTTGATGTTTTTCTCCCTCTCCCTTCCTCTCTGAAATCAAGAAAAATATTTTTTTTAATAAGAAGGCTGGGCCTGTATGCTCCCACACTTACCAATCATTGGTGACAGGCTGCCCCAGGAGCCTCTATGAAGGAAAACAAAAGGGAACATTTTATATGCCACTTGGGACATCTAAACTCGGATTGAAAATCTGAGAGCAACAGTCATACTTTCGAGTTTAAAATTACTCCTACCTATGCCCTAGCCGGTTTGGCTCAATGGATAGAGTTGGCCTGGGGACTGAAGGGTCCCGGGTTCGATTCCGGTCAGGGCACATGCCCGGGTTGGGGGCTCGATCCCCAGTAGGGGGCGTGCAGGAGGCAGCCAATCAATGATTCTCATCATTGATGTTTCTATCTCTTCCTCTCCCTTCCTCTTTGAAATAAATAAAAATATATTTTAAAATATATATATATTTAAAAGTAAATAATTAAATAAAATTACTCCTACCTGTAGTTTCCCCCGATTTGAGATGGATTTGAAATAAACAAGCCAATAGTGTATCTAGTTAGGGCTGGTGATGGCACTTTTCAAAACCCTTGGGTATAAGTAAGCAAACATACATTACCGAGGACTGTGTACCAGGGTAGCATGCTCAGCCATCGATCAGTATGGACCACTCTGTGCTCCTTACCTACATCATCAAAATAGAAGGCTCCCTTTCCCGTAACACATAATTCCCCATCACTACATCAATCGCCGTATTTCTTTAAAGGACAGTAAATGTCCAGGTCAGCCATGATTTACGGACTGTGTAAGTTACTAGCTGTATGGCTGTGATATGCCATTCTGCTTGTAATATGTGTCTTCATAGATCTGTGCCTACAAAATAAAAGGGGGAGGGGGGAGGGCACAAATAACCAATGTCAGAAATGAGTGAAGGGAGAGCTACAGATAATGTATCTACTCAAGCACAGTCCACCACGTCTCTGCTGGGCCAACGGTGAAACTCCTCTGAGGAACGTGAAACAGATCTTCAACAAACGCAGTCATACCATGTTCATGGACAGCACCACTACGTATGGAGACGACGTCAAATCTCTCAATGCCCAGCGGGTTTTGTTGATGTTGCTGAACTTGATGAGCTGTTTCGAAAATGGACGTGGGAATGCGAAGGGCCAAGAGCAGCCAAGACGCTCTTGAAAAAGAACAAGAAGTTGCCGTCGGGTATAAAAATTTAAGATGAAATGACGATAACCAAGACAGTGCGGTGTCAGCGAAGAGACGGGTGGCTCAGGCACCTCGATGTGAAATGCAAATGCATAAGCTCGTAGTGTTTGGACGTAAATAACTTCATGACCCTGGGACAGGGAGTGGCGTTTTCTTTAAGTCACAACACAATCGATAAAGGAGATGTTTGATCGATTGGAGTACATTTACACAGGTGTTCCACCTGACTGTTAAGGAAATTTCAAATGACAACTTCATGGAGATGCCACTAAACATCTACCTACCAGGTTGACAAGTGGTAGAACAGCTGACAATAACCAAGTGCTGGAATGGAGGTGGAGCGAGAGAAATCTTACCCACCTTAGTGGGGCTTCATAAAGCAGTGATTGCTCTTCCTTTTGCCTGAAGTTGACGCTCTGTATCCTTTCATTCCACACCAACAGAAATCCTTGCACATGTACACCAGGGTATAGGGGTGCCATCCACCCTTGGTATTGCGGGGGAGTGTTGCTAGTCCCCCCACCCCCCAGATACCAAAATCTGTGGGTGCTCAAGTCCCTTATATAAAACTAGAGGCCCGGTGCACGAAAATTCATGCACTGGAGGGGGTCCCTCAGCCCGGCCTGCCCCCTCTCACAGTCCACAGGGGATGTCCTACTGACGGAGTCTGGCCTCCCTCTGCGGGAGGCAACTGGGCCGATCAGGGGAAGGTGCCACCCCCGTCACCCCACCACTGCTGCCGCTGCCGGACGCCGTGGCTGCTGGCCCTCGGCCCTCGCAGTCACCGTGGCTTTGTCCAGAAGGATGTTCAGCTGTCCGGTCTAATTAGCATATTATGCTTTTATTATTATAGATAGTATAGTATTTGCATGCAACCTGCACACATCCCCCTGTGTACCTTAAGTCATCTCTAGGTTACTTGTCAGACCTAAAACTACCTAAACAGTTGCCATCCTGTGACGTTTAGGGAATGACCAGGAAAGGCTGTACGTGGGCAGTACGGACCCAGCCATCGAAGGCCCAACGACAGACTGTAAGTCGGCAAAAACATAACATTTTCCCCAAGTACTTCCGACCCACAGTTGGTTGAATCTGAGGATGCCACACCTGTGGAGAGCCGACTGCAAACACGGTGGCAGCGTGCCTAATGGCCAACAGCCACCGGCTGCCGAAATGCCCGTCTCAGGGGACTGATACGCAATGACATACCCTGCAGCCGTGACACATAATGACATCCAGCTCCACAAAACCACACGCACACGTTCATCTCATAAAGTTAAGCGAAAAGGCAAGACACATAAGAAGATATACAGCATGATACTCTTCACATAAAGTTCAAACACAGGGACAACGAGCCCGGCCGCGGGGCTCAGTGGTTGAGCATCAATCCACGCACCAGGAGGTCACAGTTCGATTCCCGGTCAGGGCACATGCCCGGGTTGGGGGCTGGATCCCCAGTGTGGGGCGTGCAGGAGGCAGCCGATCAATTACTCTCTTATCATTGATTCTTCTATCTCTCCCTCTCCCTTCCTCTCTCTGAAATCAATAAAACTATATTTTTAAAAAAAAGAGCAGGGACAACTAAACTACAGTAGCTGCACACGTATTTCCCCTGTGTGGGAATTGACCACCACAGTCCACCCTTTGTATTGTTGTAACCAGGCATCCATGGGTGGGAAGCGCTAAAGGAAAGGACTTCCCACGTTAACATGATGGCTTCATGTTGTCCCACTGAACCAGCCTGCGTTCGGCTGCGGCTGCGAGTAAACAGGTTTAAGCAACAATCACTGGAGCAGACGGCCATCCTGGGGCCGCAGGAGAGACTGGGGGGCGGGAACCATGCGCTGCGGGCGGGACTCTGGGAGGAGCCGCAGAGGCTAGGCCTGTGCCAGGAAGAGCGGGCAGGAGGCCAGGAGCCGTGCCGGGGCGCTGGCAGGTAAGCGGGGACAGACCGGGCGCTCCTGGTGGGCTTCCGGGAAAAGGCAACTGGATCCAGAACCCCCGGCTGAGAAGCATGCGCAGGGCTCGCCTCTCGCTTCGGGAGCATATGGCCTCTCCGCAGCCTCAGCCACAGTCTGTGCTTCCCCTCCTCCCTGCAAACTCCACTCCACACGCTGCTGCCCTCGCACAGTCCATGCGAAAAGGCGTCCCCCAGGGAGACGCAGTGACCACTGCCAGCCCCTCCTCGGGGCTGCTCCCCAGCCAGCCCCTCCCCAGGGGCTGCTCCCCAGCCAGCCCCTCCTCGGGGGGCTGCTCCCCACCCAACCCCTGGGTTCCGTCACGGTGGCAGCACCAGTAAGAGCTGCGAGGCTGGCCAAAACCGGTTTGGCTCAGTGGATAGAGCGTCGGCCTGCGGACTCAAGGGTCCCAGGTTCGATTCCGGTCAAGGGCATGTACCTGGGTTGCGGGCACATCCCCAGTGGGGGATGTGCAGGAGGCGGCTGATCGATGTTTCTCTCTCATTGATGTTTCTAACTTTCTATCACTCTCCCTTCCTCTCTGTAAAAAATCAATAAAATATATTTTTTAAAAAAAAAAAAAAAGAGCTGCGAGGCTGAATGAACATGTGCTGTGCGTGTGCTTGTTACATGACTACAGTGGGCCTGGCCGCGCGGCTCAGTGGGTGAGCGCCGACCTATGAACCAGGAGGTCACGGTTCAATTCCCGATCAGGGCATAGGCCCAGGTTGCGGGCTCGATCCCCAGTGTTGGGCGTGCAGGAGGCAGCAGATCCATGACTCTCTCTCATCATGGATGTTTCTCTCTCCCCCTCTCCCTTCCTCTCTGACATTGATAAACATATTTTTTTTAAATAAATTACTACGGTTGCTTTCATCTCTCCTGTTACAGCCTGAACTCGCTGCCACTGAACCTTCCCCTGTGAAAACCTGTGCCTCTGGCCTCCTCAATCAAGAGCAGACTCCGCTGCCTGTCGGTCCAGCTGGGTCTCCTCGGCCAAAGCCCACCTCCGTCCCCTGTAACCACTGCCTCCCAGCACAGCGCTCCCCCAGACGGACGCTCCCCTCCTCCCCTCTTCCCCTCTCCACTCGCCACCCCCAGCCCTTCTTCTCTGAAAGTGTCACCCCTCCACCGATGACATCACACACACCTTCTCCCTTCCCTGGGCCACTGTGCCTGTGGAACCTGCCATGTTGCAGAAGCAGAGACGGCGCCTTCCTCCCAAGTCCCGCTGCCCACCCGCTCAGAGCTGCCTCCTGTGCTCAGAGCTGACTCTCCGTGCGTGCCCGTCTCCCCGTGGGCCCTGGATTGTGTCTGTGGAACGGGCTTGTAAACGTTGCCATCTCGATGTGACGGCGGGTGATGGGTGAGCCCACACATGCCCCTGTGACCCCTCCTTGGGCACGGCCACGGGCTGGAGGTCTTGGTGCAGTGGTTCTCAACCTTCTGGCCCTTTAAATACAGTTCCTCATGCTGTGACCCAACCATAACATTATTTTCGTTGCTACTTCATAACTGTAATGTTGCTACTGTGATGAATCGTCATGTAAATATCTGATATGCAGGATGGTCTTAGGCGACCCCTGTGAAAGGGTCGTTCAGCCGCCAAAGGGGTCGCGACCCACAGGTTGAGAACCGCTGCCTTGGTGCTTACTGGGATCGAGTATGTTCACTAGCAAACCCTGCGGACACTCGCTCCTCTGCCTCTTGGAGGGAGAGAAGGAAAGAGTCTTCTTGACCACCTTGGAGGTTTCCTGCAGGTGCCTGACATCGTCCCTAATGAGACCTGGCCGGACAGATACGCTGGAGGTTCTACTGTGTGTCAGCACAGGCACAGATGATGCTTCTTGGGGCAGGGATGCTCCCAGCAGCTATCGTTGCCTCCGGGACGTGGCTAACACAGTAAGTGCTGAGAGCATGTGCGAGCCTCCCTGCCTGCAAGCAACTTTATAGATTTTTAAAAATTTATTTTTATTGATTTCAGAGAGGAAGGGAGAGGGAAAGAGAGAGACATCAATGATGAGAGGGAATCACGGATCGGCTGCCTCCTGCAGGCCCCCTACTGGGCGTTGAGCCAGCAACCCGGGCCTGTGCCCTGACCGGGAATCGCACCCTGACCTCCTGGGTCATAGGTCAGTGCTCGCTGGCGGGCCAAGCAGCTCACAGGTGGATGGAGTGGGGGGAGGGGGGTCCGGGGGAAGAACAAATAAACAAGTAGGTGATCAAATTACTAAGGAGCACATGCAGCCGGGCCCTTCACACCGGGCACTGCGCAGCAGCTGGCAGAGCTGGAGCTTTTTATCAACGGAGTCGAGCGACCCAAGAGCCTGGCTCCGTGGCTGGTAGGGCAGGTCTGGAGCAGGTGTCGGGGTCCCCAGCCCGCCCTCCCTCCCACCCTCCCTACCTCCCTCCCTCGCCGCCTGGCTGTGCACACAGCCCCCTCTCGGGCCTCCGATTCCCCAGCCTCCCGCGGCACCTACCGCGGCGAGACTGAGGGTTAAAGCTCAAACGCAAGCGCTTGGTCCCGGTGCCTGGCAACCGAGGAAGCGGTCAGGACGCGCTGGAGACGTTCCCGCGGGTCAGGCCAACCACCCGGCGCCGAAGGGCGGGTGACGCGTAAGGGCCCCTGGGCCCCGGCGGGTGGGGAAGCGGGACTGAGCCGGGCAGCTTTGACCTTGAACTGCGGCCCCAGGAGGCCGAGGAGTCGGTGCCGCTCCCCCAGGGCGCCGGCCTCCCGCGGCGGCGGTTCCGACCCATCCCGGGCGGGGACGGCGACCCCAGAACCCCGAGACCCCGGGACCCCAGGACCCCAAGACCCAGCCCATCGGGCCCCGCGGGTCTGAGGCGCCGCCCTCCAGGGGCGATTGGCCGCGAGGGCGAGGGGCGCGGGCGGGGCGGGGCGGGAGGGGCGGGACCTGCGCGCGGGCGGCGGCCCGGCACGCGGCGCCTCGCGCTCCGCGCTTAAATGAGCCGGGCTCCCCCCGCGCCCGCCGCCAC